AGTAAGACGGACGTGGAACGTCTATAAATTATTTTATTTTTGAAAATTTTGTTTCTGTGCCATAAATAATGCTTTTTGTGTTAAGCATAATTAACACTTTGGGACATAAGATTACCTTTAAGTCAGTAATTAGTACTTTTTTTTATTATAAATGAACAATATATGTAGTAGTTATTATTAAAAATAATACTTTATTTCGAGTCTAAAGGAGAGCGTTTTAATTTAGAAAAACATAAATTACAAGTAGTTACAAATATTTCTTAGTGAAATGGTTGTATGAAAAATCTTTTCCGCTACGTATATTTAGCTCTTGCTTGTTCAATAATAGCGTCATCATTGCAGTGTTTTTTTACGTTGATATAATTTACGATCGGTTTTGTCAGACACCTACACTTATCGAGCGATCTGATGAGTCCGGCCCGACGGCTTTTGACACCAAATTATCTTATTGATGAACCACTGGACAGGAACAAGACGACGTTAATGTGGATATGATTGTAATAAATATAATTTGTGAAGTACCTGAGGTACTAAGTTTCGGAATATTAGCTCTTTAGTCAAATTATTGACTAACTTAATTAAAATGTTCTGTAATATTTACACGAACAATTAATAAATTACGAGTTACTATGATGATTGTAATATTACTATGATTGTAATAAATATAATTCACTTTATTTTTTACTAAAAGTAGAATACATTATTGGAAGTACCTGAGGTACTAAGTTTCGGAATATTAGCTCTTTAGTCAAATGATTGACTAACTTAATTAAAATGTTCTGTAATATTTATAAGAACAATAAATAAATTACGAGTTACATACAAAAAAAACACCGATTGCAAAACACTCACGAAAAAAGTATAATTAATTGCTTTTAAATATACAGCAAGATGCAGCGGGAGTTGGGCCCTTTATTTTAAAAGTAGAATGATACATTAGCCCTTTCAGAATCATCGTGTAGTGCGATCTAAGAAATAATATTTAAAAATACAACAATATCGGGACACATTTGAAAATTAACATATTACTACCAAAAATTTTTTAGAAACTAAAATAATATTTATTTGATGTTCAAGATCAAGAAACGTTAACGTTGTTTAATTTCATTTTGAGCGTATCCATATTATTGCTATCGTCGCGACCTCATAGAGCTTTCTGTATCAAATGAGTTTAAGAACATCACATCCGATTTTCTAGTTGGATGTTTACAACTGTGTTACAATTTTATATCGTAAACTTTTATTTCATCTTATTTTAAATTTATTTAAATTGTTCAGTCTCATATACTGGGCCGGCAGTAATGAAAGACGAACAAGTCAAGAGTTGTTTTAAATATTGAAAAGAACATAAATTAGATTTACAGTAAACTTAAATCCTACCGATATTTAGTTTAATAGGCATTATTTTGCGCAAACTACAAAAGAGAGTTCACCATTACCATCCTAATAACAGGCGCAAAAGTTGCTTATTATTCCTACTTCACAACAAGTTAACAGTAGGTATTATATTGAATTGTATCCTCGACTAAGACTTCGATTAGATTAAATTTTTATTAGTTTTGATTTAAAAAACTATTCATCTACACTGTCATTGAATACTTATACTTAAAGATATAACGAAGAAAAACAAAAAAAGTCTTTGATGTATTCAGATTAATCGGAATATACAGTTAGTTTCCTTACACGTAAAATACAAAGGTTTAAAAAGAAAATACCTACATTCATAGCGATATTATATTCAGTTATCATTGAAAAATATATGATATTTATAAAATAAATAATCATTATAAAACATCATTGAATTAAGTCGATAATATACATTATTAATTCTTTAGGACATAAGGCGTCAAAAACGGACACCACATTTGTTCTATCTTCTTGATGTTTTTAGGCAATTTATTCTCAGGAAGCTCCTCTTCCTTTAGAATTTTTATGGCTCTAGGTTTCTCTACTCTCAGATCAGTCAAGTTTATAGAGTTTTTAATCCAAATCACTTGATATTTGCACCCTGAAATTAAGAAACAAAAATTACCTTCTAATGCTATTACTGAACTCGATTTCAAACAGTTTCTGAATGGTGTAGCGCACAATAGCGCACACGGTCTTCGATACGGTTGTTAATCATACTATGACTGATCAAAAATTTACTATCTCGAGCTCCTCCGTGCTTCGGAAGGTTTCGGGTGCATCTGCAGTCGTTGATATCCACCAATACACACTGGTCCGCGTGGTAGGTCATAGTCCATTATCTCTTACTCCATTTGATTTGATTTCACCCATAGGGAAGGCCCCAGTAGCGGGGACATTTTTAGGCAGGTTATAATGAAACAGTTTTTATTATGTCGGATATAGGATAGAAAGAATGAGATATAGAGCGAAATTTGCTGTTACAAACAGGCATAAGACGAGACATCGATTCAGCGAGAATTTTTCTCTCTTTTCCGCACCTACTAGTCTTAAAAGAGTTTACTCAGGATAGTTATTTCTGTTATTTATTTCGGAGTCGTTTTATTAAAATTAATGAAAGTAATGTCCACGAAAATATTAACAGAACTCGAAGAGATCAAATCTATTTATAAAACACACAACAATATACTCAATGGCCACGGCTGCACCAAACAGAAATCTAGCTGGGCATTTGTGGATTTAATTAGTCTACTACGCGGGCTCATTTGCTTTAATGTTATATTATTTCTAATTATTATTAACCTAAATAAATACTACCAATGAAAAATTTATTTATCACATTTCCAGTACCTTACTAAAGATTAGTTTTTTACACATGTTATATATATGTTTCTGACCAAACAACTCAGTGGTTAGTAAAAAAGTGAAACTTATTTCACCTTGCTTCACAGCTATCATATCTTAAAATTTTTCTTTGAATAGACACATTTCTGATAAGATGACAAAGGAATTTAAAATGAATTTAATTGTTGCGGGTTGAGTAAGGAAAAAATAAAGCGTAACATGAAACGTTATAGGATGAATATGGAACAACCCACATTAAGGCGTTCCTCTTGGTTGCATTTGCAGTCATTAAAGTCCATTTTTCCACACTGGGCCCTTATGCTGGGTTCTTAATGTGTTCTGTTATTTAATTAATAGGGCTTCTATTTCAATACAGGGTATCATAGTCTGCTGATTATGATTGAACTACTTACTGTCATAATTATCAATAATATCGGGTCTAAGGGTTCCAACAGTATAAAACCTAAGTTTTCTCACAGCATCTTCGTATTCTGGACATCGACATCGATCCATCTATATTTAAAAAACTTGTAAATTACTTTAAAACAATAAACATTTCAGTAAAGTATATGTACGATGGAGCTGACAGTTGAATTGTCATTCAAAAACAATGATCAATCTTCGATCAACAATACAACGAAGGATCAATATAAGTAAATAGCAAGTTTTTGACACATACTCTTTAGTTTTCAAAATGCAATTTAATGTTTTTTTATTGTACATTCTTGAAGATTTGGAATTTTATTAAACTAACCATTACTTAATGTTTATGTTAATTAAATTGGGTGATAACGAAATATTAAAAAGGTGACTTGATTGGCTATGTTTTACATATAAACGATAATTAATTAGCACTAAATAGTCATCTACTAAGTTTATTTTCGTGTTATTTATAATTAGGTGCTTAATAGAATGTCAAGAAATAAAGTACTAAAATTAATGATTACCTAGGTACAATTTTCCAAATTAGCGAGGTCATAATAAAGAACCCATTACAGCGAACTAATAACTAACTGATATGCAGGTAGCGATTAATAAGAGATAGGCTTTTACATAAGAAAAAGAAAACCAATAGTTTTTACGCAATTCTTAGATAAATAGGTGTCGCTTTAATGTGTATAGTTGAAATACGGTGGATTTGTTTTTATATATGTACAGTACAGGTTAGGTTAGGTTATGGGACTCAGGGCTCCAATTTTCCGCTCTTAGACGCTTTAATCGGTCCATTGTGCGTGAAAAGTTGCCTGCCTTACTCCAGCCAATCCAGCTCTGCATTTCTATGTTAGAAATAATTTTGGAATCTGTATTAACACATACATTTTTACCACAATTTTTTTATTATCTTATTTAACATTATCAAGTATATTATCTTTATAATTACAAATATTAACATAATATAAGTAGAAGAATAGATGTACTTTTCATCTTTATTATAAACTGAAATGAATTTCACTAGAATATATTTATTGAAAACAAAATAATGTTTTCCCTTAACAGCTCAAGATATAATCGAGAGTTCGCCGTGACGACGAACCTTAAAGTCGGCAATAAAATTGGATTAAAGTTAAATTGATCATACGTCAGTAGCACAAAATGCGCTTCTGCTCACCCAAGGACCAATTGGCGGCATTGTAAAATCAGTCACAAGTTGTAAAACTCGCAATAACCTCTGCGATATACGGCCGATATTCAGTACAGTGAAGAGTAAAAAAAAAATATAAAAGAAAAACTTTTTATGGGCAGCCGCGCCGCACCGATTGTAAAACTGGGAGCGTATTAGTGATATAGCACTCTTGTACGCGTGCATTTCGCATTTTGAAGTCGTTTACTCGAAACTTACACTATAAAATGTAAACATATCTTACATCGGGAAGTAATCGATGCAACAATGTACTAAATATCTTAGACCGTTATCATTTAAAAACTATAAACGTCAGATGTGGAATTGCTTAGGTTCCATAATGTAATATTCTAGAGATAATAAGTTATAATGGACTTTATGAAAATGTCATAAAATATTATTACAAAATATGATTAGAAATATGAAATCTTCCACACACTTTAGAAAAGACATTTTGTACGAATAAACAACTTCCAAGTTTCTTTATTAACTAACGATTAAAAAATTCTTTAAAAAATGCTAATCAAAAGTTTCTCTGTGTTCTCTGTGTTGAAAGATAAAAACATTATTGTATTTTTAGAAGTCTATTTAGTTTAACCTTGTTCAACCATTTACCAATACATTCAGGATGCCATTTGGTAACTCACAAACGGATTGAAAAACGTCAAATGCGTTATGGCAATAGTTTATTAAGCATCTATGAGAATTCTCGAGAATTTCGACGAAGTAGTGAATCATTTCATGTTAACTGTTCTCGGAAACTCGCATTGTAACTGAAAGATACGCCTCGTATTATCACAGATAGTCTCATGTGATCGTGCCTTCACGATGTACATTTTTAATGACATTCCTTTATCTCCAATCAAGAACTGACTTACAATTATCGAGGTTAAAGTCCTATTCGGCGTACCGTACCTTTGGTCATTACTACAAGCGGTCTGAAAGAGGAATCGTAAAGCAACGAAAGTAATTTGCATCGCGGCGGTTTTGTGCGACAATACCCGTGAAATCGCGTAGTGGCGGGAGCGGTACTAAAGGGAAGGTACGTCATAAACGCAAATTGCTATACGAACAAATTAGAACGCTAATTTTATTGCATTAAGGTAGTAAATCGTAAGGCGTTTGACGATTGTTTTATTACTCTATAATGGACGGCGTTAACGGTAGCAGTTAAAACATGCGTAGGGTTAAATAAGGCGAGCTAGAAAGAGATCAAGTTAATGGAAATTGATTCTGCTGGCCCAAATATTAAGACATAGGTACTTCAGAAGTAATTTTGCGAGAAAGATTGTCGGTTTCCACACTTAAGTTGTAAACCTAAATATAATACTCCGATTATAAACAACTTACTTAAATATTCTAACTACTATCTTCCTACCTTAAAATAATAACAGGATTGTAACTGCAGCGATGAAGTAATTCAGTGCATCAATAAAATTTATAAAAAAAAAACAATTTAATGTCTAAGGTGACTAAGATGTTGATTGTCTTTTTAAGAGTATAGCTACCTAATAAACAATACTATTGGATACATTAACAATACCAAAATTTTATATTGTATGGAAACGTTTAAATTTATTAAATCAAAATATTATTTTAAGAAATACATTTGACTTGTTTATTTTAATTTTAAGCTTATCAATAGGTATATTATTTAACTATTAGAATGATTTATTTGTCTATTGATTGACTTAGAAACTTTTACAAATCACAACAAAAAACAGACTTTCTTAAAGTTGAGTTTTTTTGCTTCGACAATATAGACATCAATATCTTATCATGTACTCAGAGTGCCATCTCTTGGTGGTTTTCCAAACAAATTATAATCTCAAAATGAATTCTACTTTGCGTGATAATAAGTTCTAAAACTCGGTCACGGTATAATAAATACTTAATGAGAATTAGTTAGTGACACACAATAAAATAAGTATTTTCCTATATTTTTTTGGCTCTGGGGCCACCAATGTATGGACGTTGAGAAAATGTCCTTTGGGAGTCTTGGCGCGAATTGGCGAAACAAACTCCGACAAGGAAAGTGAATTGCCCTCTTTCATTTAATATTTACAGAACGGACTCATTGTATCTTTTGGTGTGATCTGGATTGAGATTTTATTTGAATATTTACTGGATTCTAAGGGGGTGGTGTATTCTAACTTTCATCTTTATTAAAATTTGCATGTTTTTTAATTTTATTAGCTTCGCATATCATTCTAGGAATGAATCTTTGTTCAGTCAAATTCAGTTACATGAATTTATTAATTGTTAGATCTTATGCTCGGGTCCTCTTAATGCATGTCACACACTGCAGATTTATGTTTGCGGCTATTTTGCGGTTTCACGTCAGCTGTACCCTAACGCGAGTTCCTATGCTGACAGGTCTTAAAAATTGGTTGATCGCTTTAAAATCCTTCCAATGTTGTCTGTGGCACCTTTCATAAATGCGAGTACAGCAGGTTGATGCTCGACTGTGGTAGGCTTGACCCGTTTTTTGTGACTGAAGCGTGGTACTCGCAATATTCGCTTGACATGCTGAAGCTCAACTGTCAGGTGTTGATTGTTACCCTTGTACTCTCTAAAACAAAGTTAAACAAACGTCAATAAAATAAAAATGCAAACGCCATGAAACCGTTTGATATGAATAAAATAATTAAATATAAATTATTAATATCATTTCTTAATGTAAAATATAACATTGATGCAAAATTTATCCAATATTACTACTGTTAATATATTATGTTTATAGGACAAATTCTAACCATAAAAACTTTAACAAAGACATTAAAAAGGCAAAATATTTCGTCTTGTTAGCAATAATGTATCACAAACATCCTACAAATTTACACATTTGTAGCAAAATCGCCCTTTCTACAACACCTTAGAGTGTTTAGTGTTATCTGCTACTATATCTACGTCTCCCCTTAATTAGGCAAGAACACAATAAATTCTTACAATTGGACATTACATTTTAGAGACAAAAAATTGTTTCTTTTTTTAATAATTGACATCGCCAGGTAGGGCAGGGGAATTTGGCAATCAAATAAATATTAGTCGTAAATATAGGCAGGTGCCTGGAGGAACTAAAATACTTCAATGGTTGATGCTCATTCGATTCCAAATGAGAAAGCTCTTTTGGTGTGTCAGTAATTACTTCCCATTGGACGAGTGACGAATGACAGTAAAATAAATTTAATCGACACTGAATCAGATCTGATTTTGATCTGTGTGGTGATTGATGTCTTCATTTTTGAGTAAACATAGGACTGATAAAAATCCCGTTCTGATATAAACAAAAAACACTAATAATTTTATGTTTTCCCAGCATTAATAAATTGACGTAGAATTTCTTTACAAAGATTATTTTATTCCAAAAAAAACATATTTCCCCTTAAAAAAAAAACATAGGTACCCTTTTATATAAATATCTGTATATATATATATATATTTTTATAAGTGCTTAATAAACAATGTAAAATTTGGAAAATAGAACTCCAAATAAACTCGATAATTTATCGAGTCCTTTCAAATGTTCTAGACTTTCCTTATTTTATATTTTCTAACAATTAACTGTTTGTCGATGCAGGCCAAGCAGGCGTCAATCAGTTGGGGGGCGTGTTCGTGAATGGGCGGCCGCTCCCCGACGTTGTCCGCAAGAGGATTGTCGAGCTGGCCATCATGGGTGTAAGACCGTGCGACATCAGCCGCCAGCTGCTCGTCTCACACGGTTGCGTCTCCAAGATCCTCACCAGGTTTTACGAGACTGGCTCCATAAGACCCGGCTCTATAGGCGGCAGTAAGACCAAGGTGAGAAAAATTATATTGCGGGCTAATCATAACATAATAGGTATTCTTACTAAGTCTTTGAAATAACCAATATACTATTAATAAATTTATATTGCATAGTTAAAATCAAACATGTCTTACTTTTTCCGTCATATCTTCTTACATGCAAACATGATCGAATTTATTTACGATTTCAGTAGAAAAGTAGATTTTAAGAAAAATTTCACGCTAAAAACCTATATCAATAGAGCTAGCATGAATATAATAAAATGAACGTTTTGAAAACCTAAAAAGGGAGCAAAGGGGGGATTAATAAAATAAAGATTTATTAATAAAGAATTTATATTTCCTATAGAATAGGTTATACATGGGTAATACTTATGCTTTTAAAATAAAAAATCTTAGCCGTAGCTATTTTCAAATTTCCGTTATGCAAAAACAAAAGACTATATCGATAAAAAGAAACATTCAAATTCAAAACAAAACAAAATCGAATTAATCGAGCGTCACGTTATTGAGAGCAAAACAAAAGAGAATCAACAGTGCAACCGCAGCACCAGGAACGCGTATATATACGAGTATATCTACACGTACGGATATCAGCGAGCGAGCGGATCGAGCGGGTCACGGCGCGAGCAATCAGTCGTAATTATAAACTATAAAATTTCCAACCGGCACCGCGCCTTTCGGCTTCTTGGGATGGCCTTTCGACACGCCCGCGAGAGCGCCATAAGCTACGCCGCTTTAGGTTCCGTACGATTTATGACCTTTGATCGGTCGGCTTCTGTATACTTCTGATATGATCGATCGACAGCTTGTAATATTTTAGATTCATAATTTTGCACTGCGATTTAGACATATTAATATGGCAGGAAAACTAAGTAGAAAATTTACTTCACCATTTAACTCAATTTAATTAGGTCGGTACCCAATTGTAAAGAATATTATATAAAGCTTTTCCTTTTATTCGATAAAATTTAAAATGTTCCATTGCTAATGAAATCTTATTCACACATTAAGATTGTTATTTAGAACTTGACAACAGCTTTTTTTCACTAAGTTTTTGCTCCAGCGTTCGTAATGCAAGCATAACAGTAAAAAGCTATCGATAGAGTTATCGGTTCATCGACCACCGAGAGGAACCCAACACCAGTAAGCATTCAACACCAACCTCACTAAATTCGGTACGCCAATAAAAACTTGCCACAAACGGACGCCGACGTCAAAAATTGATTACAACAAAATACATCCAAATCACCGAAATACTTTTATTGATGCTGTTATGGGAATGTCTAATTGACTACTAATCAATGCGGGCAATCGATTTACGATTGCTCGATTTTATCGAATGTAATAGTGAAGCAGTAACGATCGATTTGACAATGATCTCATCCTTTTTCACACACGGCGTTATGTAATTAATATTATTGGCGAATGTAGTTTTATTGGTGTAGTTTGTGTAAGGTTCTCGCAGTTTCTAGTTCCATGGATATAAAAGTTAATGACAAGGCGGTTATTGAGAGAATTAGATGAATTCATGTTCCGATTGCCTAACGATTGAGTTCTATAAGTACTCGTAAACTTAACAAGGCACAAAAAACACACTTTTTTTGACGAAATCAAAACTGGAATATTTTAACTAAAAATATTGTTTAATATTTTATGTATATTGTTTAATTATACAAAGAGTTTTAAATAATCTTTTTTAATAGGAGACGTTAGTCTTCTATTCTTGTTTAAACTTAGATTTATTAATACGTCATGAAACAATTCGGCTAAAGAAATTAGTCATTTTATTCCTAAACCATATTCAACATTTGAAAGCACAGTATCGTACAATACTATTTACTATTACTACTAATATTTTTGTTTCTATAAGATGTGCAAGTCTGTTGGTAAGCACTTAATAAACAATAAAAAACCATTAAATGACGTTAGTATAAATAAATATAACTCAAAAACGATAGCGGTCAGGAAAAAAATTGCCATATTTAAATAGTACGTGTCAAATTGTGATAGAAAAGAAAACAGAAACAATTAGGTAACACACTTTTTTTCCTTTTGTTTACTGCAATATATAAGTAGTGAATTATATGCAAAGCTGCAGTTGCATGTAATTAGAATTCTGCATGCTAAATATTGGTTGTTCCGTTTAATTCACAGCCGTATTTTAAAATTTCCTGTACAAATATTTTCTCATTGCTTTTAACTGTTAGATGCTTAATAATATTGTTTGTACTTTAATTTTAAACTAATTTCTCTAACGAGAAAGATCATTATTAAAGTAATAACATTGCAATTCAGCCATCAATTTTGTTATGAATTCTATTGAACAATTAAATAATTTTTACACTTTACCGCCACTTTTATAGCATAGCACTTATTATTTGCGATGCATTTATTACGATATGAATAAAGGTAGAGTCGTGGGGTATAAACAAAAACGATTTGTTGTAGAAAATTGTTTGATTGTATTTAATTAGACGAACCTTCGTTTTGTAAAGGTTAAAATCATAACGCAGAGGGCACCTTGAATCTTGCGCCTTTTTGGTCACAAACAATTAAACATTCTTATTCAATTTGGACACATCGAACATTTTCCTCAAAAGTCTCTACTGTACTTTAAATATATTTTTTTACCTTTAGCATGGACTTTAGTCAATATTATTTCTAGAACCAGCAGGATTAGGTACTCTGGAACGCAATTTTAATGTATTTCAATCCAATCCAATGACAATCTCAATTTTCATCAAATCGTAGCTCATACTCTTGAAATATAGCGTCAATACTTACTAAATGTCAATTAGTTCATTCAATATCCACGCAATATTGAGTCAATTGGCGCTAGTGCATCAAATACGAAAAGAGGACGAAACATCACAGTTGCAATGTCGATTGATCGCGATTCATGGATATATGACCAAATGTTTCTTTTTATTAATGATTACATGTCGTACTCTTATATAATTTTCTAATCTACTGCTGTCGTATTGATGTCCCGCTGCTGGTGTACAGACCTTCTTAAGAGCCATATTACATCGCAACTGTGATTTCTGCGTGATTTTTCTCGGAAACAAAAACAAATTAACAATTTTGACTTGTCGAATAGTGAAGAATAACTCTTGGTATAGAAATTAGTGGCTCAACTTTTTGGAAATTTTGCTCATCTTTTTAATTAAATCCAAAATACCAGAGAAAGTTTTTCATAAAATGCGCAAAGACACTTTTTTGAAGTCCTGGATTGAGCTACTGTTCTTAACAAACGAAATAAAAGAAATAGAATGATATCTCTTATATAGTCGTAAAGTAAACAGTAGCTCGAAATTTTGAAATAGCACTGATTAAATATAGAAAAACAATTATATTACAAACCAAAAAACATCAAAAATTGCTTGAAGTTAACTTTGAATTTCTCTTAGCCACAACAATATTATTTAACAAAATTTATGCCAGATTAATGACTATTTCATAAGGAACAAAGTTATTATAATTTTAAAGCATAAATTTATTATATTATTTCAATAAATACGATAAATGTAAACGCAAAATCACTACAAAATAAGATGCAGCGGCCGTCTGAGCTCAGTACCGCGCGAGCGCTCCTCAACGTTAGACCTGTGTCGCATTTCTTCGCGCCATTTTTCGATCTAGATACGTTCGAGCGAGCGTAAATAGAGCAGTATAGTGGGACTTCCAACTTTGGTCACGAAGTTCGATTTATATGGAATTTATATAGCTTATTGAATTATTTCTAATACACATTTGTTATTTTCAGCATAGGTCGAAAGACCCCTAGGTATATTTGTATAAGAAAGTTAAAATATATATTTATATTATGAAATGCAAATAAAGCAAGGTACTTCTTCTCTCAATACACTTATACTAGTACATAAAATTGGAGTGCATATTTGTAATATTAAAATAACCGCTTTTCACTAAATACATTTGTGTGTATACATGGTACATATACAAAAATAATATATTTTATCTGTCTGTCTGTTAGTTCTGGCTAATCTCTGAAACGGCTTGGCCGATTTTGAAGAGACTTTCACTAGAAGTTGACTTACGTAATGAGGATTAACTTAGACTTATGGCTCGATGCAATTCGACCGATATCAAATTTATCGGAGATCCGCATATGAAACAACTTTTTCTAAATTCAATATATTTTTAATCCCGGACGCAAAAACGACGCGGTGTTATAAGTTTGACATGTCTCTGTGTGTGTGTGTGTGTGGTGTGTTTGTGTCTTTTTGTGGCATCATAGTTCCCGAACGGATGAACCCATTTTGATTTTGTTTAAAAGGTGTATTAGTCGGGAGTGTTCTTCACTTTGATGAAAATCGATACAAGATGGCCGCCGCCACAAAATGTCGGATCACATATTTTATCACCATTCCATCAATATGGGTATCAAATAAGAGGGCTTGAGTAGTAGAATACTGAACACTATGACAAATTTCAAATCCAAGATGGCCGCCACCAAAAATGTTGGGTTATCTATTTATTTATTTTGTACACACATACAATTTCATATGAACAATGTAACAGACATTAGTACAAGGGCACTGTCGAATTAGGGAAAATGGGCCAAGAATCACTATGCGGGCAAATGCCGATTTGTGGGAGCTAGCCACTATAGATGCAGAATATTTACTTTTTTAAAATAACAGCATAAAAGAACAATTTTTTTTAATGAAAAATATTTTAAAAATCCACTTGATCCATGACCTTTCGCAATCCGGAGGACTGCTCTAACTTTCAAACACTTGTCAATCTTTCGCTACTACAGAGCTAAGAATTATTCTTATTCTATTTTGCAATAATAAGTAATACTTGTCAATCTTAGCGAAAGAGCTAAGAATTATTCTTATTCTATTTTGCAATAATAAGTAATGTTTGTTCGTGGATGTTCGTGGACTTTAACTTTAATTTACAAACAGCATAAAAATACAACAAAAGAGAACTAAATACATAATTAATATTTTTCAGTATAGCATTATGAATGCAGTATTGATCCA